TCTGGAGGAATGGAAATTATCTTCCAGAAACAAAAAAAAACGTTTAGGTTTAGGTTTTTCACTAGCTACGTGTCATCCTCTACAATGAGGACATCATAGGTTATCATGACGTTGAGTAGATGTGAACATAGGATACAGTCCACTCGAAATTGTTGCGAGTAGTATCAGCATGACCACAGTGATCAAAGTGCGATCATTTCGTAAGGTTGTACCTGAAACTGTGAAAATTTTGTTCAGACCCAGCTACGGTTTTCTTATAGTGCTACAGACTGACCGTTCAAATTAAACGCCTTCGAATTGTTGGGAATATTTCCGCTATACAAAATGTATGAAAACCTAATGGAAAGAAGAGGATTTGAATGAGTGGTTAGAAATTCTCTATTTAGCTAAACGATTTTGGTTGCTAACACCACCACCATCATATTTCCTTGATGCATTTCATAATCAAGTGATTGTAAAAAACTCGTTTCCAAGATATTCAGTCTGTTCGAGCCACTGATGGGTATCGCCCATAAAATTGGTTTCTATAGACACGAAGAAGCTTGGATAAAAGCAGATTCCCACTTAAAATGACAACTGAAAGCTCGACAGTCACACTGAAACAATCTAGCTGGCCTGTTAACGCCCAGACCGGCTGAATGAATGGCGTTCGGTAAGTCTCTTAAATGGTCTAGTTCTTCACTTGGAACCTTTTCGCTCATTGATTCCCAAACCAGTCAGTTGTTCTTCATATGGAGCGGAAAGATTTCAATGGAATAAAGTCGGTTTTCAGCACCTAGTTCGTACGACCCGTACAGCAATGTTTCATATACGCGAATCAACAAGTCCAGAAGACGCGATGGACTAAGATCTGAGCAAGATCGAATCTACAATCGACCACCACCAGTCGTGAAGAAGATCTTCCTAAGACCGAACCAAGATGCCCAATTCAAGTATGTCCACGATATGTGATAAACTTGAGCTAAACTAAGAGCAAGGTCGATAACCACATAAATCCTCGCATTTTTTTCGAAATCGCATAAAGCTAAGCCAACCTTTCAAACAGCCTTGAATGCAGCAGCATTCACCTCTCCCTTACTCGTTTAGCCCTCCTTATCAATCACATACAGCTGATCATTCACAGAAGAGTGCGCGTTCTTGATAATAAACTTCTGAATCGCAAATATTCGGCTAGTGTGTTCACCGTATAATTATCTCGATGATCTTCCCGGCTAATATTCCGATCCACAATTTGGTATCTTGTATGAACGAGTTGCTTTTGATGAACACACCTTGTAAGAAATGCCTTTCTGGTTTGGGAAGATCTCGTTTCACTTTTCGTCCCATACAGTAATCTATCTCTTCTGATGAATCCAATTGAGCAATATTTAGACCAAAACAATTCATATGGCGTGTTTGGAGGATTCCGCGACTGAAAAGTTTGATTCAAGAAGCCGGCGAGTTCTTGGGTTACGACGATGGTGTTGCAGAATGCCTGTATGACATGAACGGACGATTAATCCAGAATGAAAATGAAATTGATAACGGACAGACATATATTCTGGCTGGAATGGAACCTCTCAACATGAAGTAGGTGCATCAGTGAAGATTTAAACTTGATGTGAAACGAAACGAATAGAATATCCCTGTATTTCACAATAAGTTCACAAGCCATATTTCACAATGCATGTTTCGAAATTTCACAATGACTTTCACAAAAGGCACTCTGATCTTATTTTCAGTTTGCTCTCACCTTCCGCTTGCTCGCGCCTGCAAGGTCAGTGATATTTTGCCGACTTAAATGCAGTTGTATTTCAGTCATATTGTCGAATATTTCCAATCTTTTCAAAAGGATTGGACCGTCATTTCGGCATTGAGCAAGCAGTTGCGTTGTTTCCATGGAACTGGTATCAATTTCAGTCTCAAATCGAAGAGGTGCTGCTCGATCGAAGAGTGAACGGTCGCTTAGAGTTGATGGATCTGAGTTTGAGTCGTCACGGATGAGGAGAAGTTCAGCTTTCGATGACGAGTCTCCAGATGAGCTAGAAGAAGAGACGGGAGGAAGGTGGCAAAGAGATGATATGGTACCAACGGCGAGGAGGAATAATTTCAGAACGAGTCGAAGTTTTAACAGTTTGGCACCAAAACGTGGTGGAATCGTAACGGACACGGCCATTAATCAACGGCCATTCACAGTTGCGGAAGATCGTCCGTACAGTATCAGAGGGCCACAAGACGGCCATGAGACCCCTGAAACGGACGATTTTGATGATGAATTCCGAAGTATTTGTTGATTTCCATCGTTTAATATCTCATGAAGTTCTCAAAAAATTCTGTTACTTATGAGTGGCAAAACTGCAGCTTTTAGCAGGCAACTTCATAATGACACATCGAGAATTTTGGTATGACGGTTTAATTTTATGCACTCTATCATGGAAGATTGTATCTACAAAGATCAAACCCATTTTCATGTCGTAGCCAGAATGTGGGTGGCTTTCTTGTCCGGTCTGATTCACTCAATGCATCATCGTTACATAGCTCTAGGTAGAACAGCAGTTACGAATGCATATTCTGTGCTCAGCAATCTGAAGGGGGAGCTGCACGATTGGCGAAATGGAATCGAAGAAGCACCACCGAAACCACAGGAAGCTCTGAACACTGGCTACGGTTTCATTAGAGATCTCGACGATGGTTATAGTGATGGAGGTGCAATTATGGGCTCAGCTCGAAGTTATTCTAGGAAACAGAGGAGAAGTTCGTAATTTGTAATTGCTCTCAACGTTTGTCAAGCTCATAATTTGTTTCCAAACACTTTCCGCATGGACTACGATTGCAACTTTCAAATGATTTCATCTCGTCACAAATCCGTTGACTGTCTTATCAAATAAGTGATCTCATACCAACCT